TTTTCTTTTCTCTTGTGTTCCAGTCCAGTCTTGCTTTTTTCCTGTAAATAAACCTTGTAAGTACTCCAGTACTGAGGCCATTTACGTGAAAAGGGAAAGACCATCTCTGAATCGAGGAGGGGGCCTAAGGGTACATCTGTCACCATCTTACAATGCTGTGATTGCAGCCATTCCCCAACTCTGTGAATGGTACTCATGGCCATTGATCAGTGGTTGTTGATAAGCCAACTCCTGGGGTGATCTGGTCATGAGAATTTGCATAATTAAGATTAAGGAACTGACCTCCCAGCCCATTGTTCCTTCAGCATGGCTGGTTTCAGTCATTATGCAAATGTACTGTTTATAAGATTGGGGAAACCTGCAGTCAGCTGAGACTGAAGAAGTCACTTGGATGAGTGACGAAACGTTTCTCCCACAAAACGCTACGTCCAGATGAACAGAATCAACTTTTGGAGAAATATTAAGAATACATTTTGTATAAAATATTTCTTATCTTTATTTTTTCAGTGTGGAATCTATATAAAAACCATAGAGGCTCTCACTGTTTGCAGGTTGATGGACATTCACTGTTTTTTTGTTTGTTTTTTTACTTGATCCTGGTAAGAAGTGGATCACTTCATATCATTGGGAACTCAGTTAAACCGGATAGGACTTCACTAAACCTCTAATCCTGCCTCTCAGGTCCACTCAGACCTGACATAAATCTCTTCATCACATGGAGAACACACGGATGTCCACTGACAACTTACATTTCACATTTTAAGAAACTATAACAGGATCGACTGTTGAACCATTAGGTCTCCACCTCCACAGAAATGATGTCTCTGAACCAGATGAATCTCATCAGTGCCTAATTGTTTCTAATGGGCACATTTTATTTTCCATATGTATATTTGTTTCTACATTCACGTAGGCAGATTTGAAATGACTCACGAAGCTAATTAAAGCTAATGTGTGAAAAGTTAAAGAGGAATTAAAGTAAAACAGCTGAAAAAGTTCTATTAAAGAGAATACATCCTCTTGAACTGCACAGTACAACACTGTAACCAAACATGTGAAAGAGCTAAACTTAATGAACAAAGAGATAAACAGAAGCATGATACAAAATGGAAATTGTAGCTGAAGTACGTAGTTATTGAAACTTCCAGCAGTCGTATTGTTTGATCTGAATCAGAATCCAGTGTTTGATGGAAATCTCCTCCTGCTGCACTTCAACACATTAAAGAGAGAGAGATGAAAGAAAAGCTGATGATGAGAGCAGAGAGAGGAAGGTGTACTTACCGTGCAGGAGGATCACAAACACCACAAACATCTTCATGTTCCTGTCAAACTCAGAGACTCTTTAAAAGCCCTTCAGGACATCAGCTCACAGCAGCTTCACTTTCCTCTGCTGATCATCTACTGACACTCTCACACTGCTTCACTGTCACAGCTCAGAGTTCAGCTTCACACTTTGTTAAAGCACATCTGTGGAATGAAGTCCGGCCGGCCACAGATCAGACGTTTGTGAGAACGGAGGCAGTGATTTGCTGGTTCACCTGTGGGGGCGTGGCTAACAGAAAAGTGGATGAACAGGATGGAAACATGAGAGAATGAACTCCTCCTACTACTCTTATCAGATAAGTTTGTTGGTAAAATGAAAGAGACTTAGTTTCATCACACTTTACTTTAACAGAAGCTAATATTCAGAAGATTGTATTTATGAATATCTGAAACACTGCGTGTGTGAAAAGAGAGGGAGAAAACTGTGAGGTCAGATATTTGCTGATCTTTAAAGTTTAAAATCACCACATTCCCACAGACCAATCAGATACAGGATATGAGGAATTATTCACCAGGTGGCCTTTATGACAGGATTCATCAGCTCTGAGCCTGATACTGAGGTGGAGAAACTCCAACATACCTGATAACCTGTGGAGTGGGAAAAGGAGTACCACGGTACATTTCACCCTGCCCACATACTACATACATACCGTGGCCCAGCGCTGGATACACAGCCACAGACAGGTTTCTATGTTTTGTCCTGGTTTGGAGACAGCATGCTGTCGTCTGAGCAGAGGAGCCCTGAGGCAAACTCCTCAACACCAAGTTAACTGCCCATCAATGAGGTCATGTTGCTGTTTCAGGGCTTCATCTGGATTCCTGCTGATTTAAAGTCTCTGTGGGTTCATGTGAAATAAAGATCTGACATGATAACCTGGTGTTATGTGGCCTGAACCAACAATCCAGCAGAGGTCAGGTAAGCAGGGCACTGTGGCAGCCGTCACTCCTGAAGTGGACTCTAAACAGCTCCGTGTGGACTGTGATAAACCAGTACTCAGAGCTTCTAATGACACAAACAGAAGTCTGCATTATGGATCTGCTGCTTTCACAGGACAACAGCAGAGAGCTGCACAGCAGGATTATTCTGAGGCCTCGAGGATCACAGACGAAAACAGGACTGATGTATTGTAGGGGGAAAAAGCTCAGTGTGGTCATCACCAGGCACCACTGATAATATTCTTATTATGCAAAGAAAATGACTTCAGTAAAAGCAAATAGAACTCTCAATTATTAAACTGATGAGGTTACAGTGAATGTGGGGATTTATTTATTTTTATTGGCAGCACAAACTGTTTTAATCTGATCCAATTTATCTTGTTAAATCGGTGTAGAGGAGGAAGATGTTTTTGTCTGTGTGCAAACAAATTCACATTTTAAAGTGTGAGACAGTTTGTTTCTGCAGGCTGTGAGGCATTTAATGAACCAAAGGACAGAAACAAAGCGTAGACATACATGCCAAAGTTTCTGTCAAACTTTTTAAATTGGTCCTAATTTTAATTCTCTGTGACGTTATGAAGTTTAAAAAGTCTTAACATCGAACTTTCCTGAAGCCCACATTCAGCCCAAACACATCAGCAAGCATCAGAAACCCCACAGAAGAAGAACAAAACTGATCAGATGAAACCTTACAAAGTTTTTATTTCACAGTTTATTATAAAATTACAAAAATGTACAAAATATCAGATTTGGCCTCATCTGTAGTCCCTGTGCAGATCCAACCAATAAATGAAGAGAAACAGTAAACGTGGTCAGTCTGTGGGCCACTCCTGTCTGTGCTGTTGTTGTACCATCTACCAGCCAACATACAAAGAGCTGAAGTGAAACTGAGTGACAGGAACAGTGTCACTGAAGCCACTATCTGCAGGTTTTTTAGATTTCTCCTGCTTCCCTATTCTGGCACACATGGCAACCAGCCTGCTTGCAGTCAATGAACCATCCACGTCCATTTTCAGTGGGTGGATACAGGCAGTATAATGGGAAAATAAATGATCCGTTATAAATGTTTTAGACCGAGTGAAGTGAGATTGAAGGGTCAGAGCTGTCTGAATTCTCTAAATACCAACAAAAGAGTCGTCAGTGCTTTTGTGCTGTCCCACACTACACAGCAAAGCAAAAGTGATTCTCTGCTCAGACGACATTTAAAGTGCATCAGCAGCATTTTTGAAATGCTTTTTATTCTTGTTGTGTGAAGCACAGTCAGATTTCTCTACTGTTGACTCTGATTGTAAAGAAGTATAACAGGACCATCAGGTCTCCAGTTGCCCGTTCCACAGAGATTGTAGTAAAGGTTGAGTTCAGGAGATTTTCTCTCTGCACATTAAGTTTCTTCAAACAGTTCTTTCTGTAAATGTCACTGAGTAAAAAGTACTTCAGCATTTAGATGCAGTGTTGAAGTCTTTGTCACGGTGTGAGCCGTATAGACCCAAAACAGACACAACACGGGCACCAGATGTGTGTGTCAGGTATTTATTAGTGAAAAACGTGAATACTCACTGGTGTGGAGTTCAGTTGCTATATACAGGTGGAGTGAAACAGTGACTAAGTGTAGGCAGTGATAACAATGATCACATGGGAATTAACTACACAAGTATACTTGGGACTGGGGTAATATGTACAAGGGTAAGGCAGAAATACACAGTGAACTGGATTTACTATGGCGCACACTTGGCTAAAGAAGTAGGCTAAAGATTACTGCTTTGATGTTACTCTGGTGAAGACTGTGATTGTGAGCAAAGTTCTTACTTCACAGTTTATCATTATAAAAATACAAAATGTAAAAAATATCAGTCTGGACCTCTGTGTGCAGATCCAACTAATAAACAAAGAGAAATAATCAACAGCTCACACTGAGTGAAGCTGGTCACAGGTCAGTTTGAGACAAACAACTTTAATACGTTGACACCATGATTGTGACTGAAGTGAAGGCACGCTTACATTAATGTGATGCTGCAGATATTTTTTTTAAACGGGTATTTTTCCAAGTTAGTTTAAAAAAAAAAAATCTCTCATGGTAAATGGCCTGTATTTGTATAGCGCTTTACTACCTAGACCAAACGTTACATCACACATTCACACACACATTCACACACTGGTGATGGCAGCTACATTGTAGCCACAGCCACCCTGGGGCGCACTGACAGAGGCGAGGCTGCCGGACACTGGCGCCACCGGGCCCTCTGACCACCACCAGTAGGCAACGGGTGAACGTCTTGCCCAAGGACACAACGACCGAGACTGTCCAAGCCGGGGCTCGAACCGGCAACCTTCCGATTACAAGGCGAACTCCCAACTCTTGAGCCACGATCATAATCAATAATAAATAAATAATCTCAAGTGCTGTAAATAAAATGAAAATGCTGAGAGTTTCCTCCAGAGTGAGACCTCTGTCACAGTTCAGAGGATCTACGGCAGCAGAGACCTTCATGGACACTAAAAGTCTCAAACACACAACAACAACATCACACTGACTCCACTCTGACATCACTGATCAATAATCAAAGAACACACAGATCAAACTGATTGATCAGCCATCAGAGGAGTCGGATCAATGGAGCTGCTTCTGTTCCTGATGTCCCCTGTTTGATCCTGGACCTGAACTCTCCCTGCAGAGGAGACACAAGACAGTCAGACAGGAACTAAGAAACAAACAAACAAACAAACAAATAGATAAATAAAAACAAACAAACAAACAAACCTTTGACTGTGAGCAACACTGTTTTGTATCTCTTGATCTCCTCTGTTTTGACTACACATCTGTATTCTCCACTGTCTCTCTCTGTGGGCTGTTTCAGGGTCAGACTGAGGTCTCCAGTTTTCAGCAGGTCTTCATTCATCTTCGTTCGGTCTCTGTAAACCTGGTGCTGTTCTTCAGGCAGATCAGAACCGTTCTTATACACGTGGACCATCCTATCACCACTGGTCTTCCACTGCACTTTGGCATCTTCAGGCAGGTTTTCTGTTGTTTTGAAGGGCAGCTGGACAGATCCCACCCCCTCCTCCACCTCCACCTGACAGACTGAGAGGACAACAAACACAGGACAGACAGACAGCAGGTTCAGAGCTATAGAGAAATCTGTAGGACAATAATGTTTATTTTTATCTTTAAGGCTCACATAGCCCCATTATTGTTTTTTATGCAATGACCTCACAAATTGTATCACACATTTGTTTCATTCTTTACTGCACAGAGATATGTTTTGTAGAATAGTTTTGGATTTAGACTGTTAGACTTAGACACTAACAGATATGAACAGGGAGAAGGAATTTGAGGTGGATGGTCTGCCTGGATGGTGATGGCACCAGAAAGCATAAAGATTTAAGGTGGACTCTCCTAGAGAAAAACAGGGCTATAAATTCTGCTGTTAGGGAATGCTCTCTTTCCCCCTTCTCTCTCTCTCTACAAGCCTGACTGGATGACAAGCGATGGTTGCCATGGTGACGCGAGAAGAGATGTCTCCATACAGGGAGATGCTGGAAAGGTGCAGAAGATGAAACATGAGGCTGACATGGCGTCTAAAGGCTTCGTCCAACGTTTTGACCAATCGGGTTAAAACTGTTTTTGCCACATGCAATAAAAGTGTTTACAGCCTGGGTGCCTACATCAAAGACCAAAAGAGGAACATGATAAGGCACATGTCGCATGGAAAGAAGGAGGAAGGAAACGTTGGGGTCCAAGGAAAGCTGATATGTAAATTAAGAGAGATCTTCTGGTGATAATAACAACAGTGTGTCAAACGATGATTAAAAGGAAGAGGCAGCATCATCCAACACAAAGTCAGAGTCTCAAGGTGACTGAAGCCAGACCAGCATCTGTAGAGGCCACATCTATGGCTCCACATTTATATTCAGCTTTGTCAGCGAACTGAAGTTACACAATTTTAGCACTCTATCATCAGGAGCGTCATCTTTAGTGGACATGCCCACAGTGGTAGAATGGGGAAAAACCCATCACTCACCAGTTGTCAGAGACTACAGTGAGGTGCAAAGAATCCCAGAAAAAGAAAAAGTACAAGTGGCTACAGCAACATGAGATTTCAGAACAAAACAGAAGAGATAGAAGAAGCAAGAAGAAGAACCACAGTGGATCTGTGGGAATGAGAGTGAATGGGAGATTTTCTGGGACAGTAAAAGGAGGAGAAAACTGATGATTTAGAGATAGAGAGCTCAGAAAGAGAGCACTGTTACTATTGATTTCAGGAGTCAGACGAAGAGAAGAGAAGAGATTCGCCCTATCACAAGAATAATTCACAAGATCTTAGACACAGATGGAACAAACTTGAAGCTTTCCTCCAAAGGTACAGATGTCACCAAGAATTGCATCGTCTGGCCAGCCTGTGTACGTGCCATCTGTCCATCGTGACATTGACTAGTTACCAAACTCCACCTCTGACAATTCAATTTTATTTATAGAGCTCCAAATCACAACAACAATTGCCTTAAAGTGGGTTTTTTTAGTGTACAATAGAGAGAGAGAAACCCAACAATCATATGACCCCCTATGAGCAGCACTTTGGTGACAGTGGGAAGGAAAAACTCCCTTTTAACAGGAAGAAACCTCCGGCAGAACCAGGCTCAGGGAGGGGTGGGGCCATCTGCTGCAACCAGTTGGGGTGAGAGAAGGAAAACAGTGCGGGACAGCAATTACTTCAGTCAAGTTAGAAATGGACTTTGGCAGCACTTTAGAGCCACCTATCCAGGAACTGAAGATTAGGAGCACTGAGAGGGCTAAACTCCAGTCAATTCAAGAACATCTAAAGAGAGTGGCTAAGATTTGGGAGGCACACTAGAAGGAGGCCAGATATTTCAGATGAAATAAAAATGCAGGCACCATTGTGAACTAGGACTATCACAGGGGTGCAGGAAAGCCTGGATGGAGTTGTAGGTCTGGGCTCCATGGCAGACAACATATGGACGCATCACCTCCTAGTGCCTGGGCTGATTTTTGTTGTTGTTGTTGAAATCTTACAGGTGGCATATGTACATGTATGTGTGAATGTTCAAAGTGTGTCTCTGTAGGAATTCATCACATCCTGTATAGGTGGTGTTCTAGAGCCATCTTGAAATGCTCATGTCTGAAATCAATAAAATATGTCAACCAGGCCTGAAGCATGTGCAAAATTTCATCTATTTTTGAAGCATGTTAAGGACCGCAAAAAGGCATAAAATAATAAATGGAGCAGATACATCAGGACCTTCACAGTGTTCTTGACTCCCAATTATAATGGCTGCAGATGCTGATGGTAATAGTCTAATTAAATCTCAGCTAACAAAGCCTGGACTTCAGTGTTGGTGCAGTACTCTGTATTTTGTTCAAGAATAATAGAATAAACCACTGTTCACAGCTTATAAGTATCTGGATTTCATTTAATATACTTTTGCAGTGATAATGTGTGTTGGTATTTTTAAGTTCTGCTTCATCAGATATTCTTCTGTATGGAAACAAGTCCCTGCGAAGTACTGACAACATCTGTTTATCACAGTTAGGCTCATATTGCAAGAAATCAATGCCAAAAATGGACCTTAGATTTCGCGTACATGCTTACACGAGACTGCACTGACCTCTGACCTTCAGCTCCACCTTTCTCTTCAGCAGAATCTTTCCCTCCCTGCTGAGGAGGATGCAGGTGTAGGTGTTTGTGTCCCAGTCTGTGGGGTATTTCAAGGTCAGACTGAGGTCTCCAGTGTTCAGCAGGTCTTCATTAATCTCTGTTCGGTCTCTGTAAACCTGGTGCTGTTCTTCAAACTGATCAGAACCGTTCTGATATATGTGGATCTTTCTGTATGAACCATCTTTCCACTCCACTTTAACGTCTTTGGGCAGGTGAGCTTTGATTTCAACGGGCAGTTGAACAGACTCAATGCCTGAATCCACCTGCACTTTGGGGACTGAGAATAGAACAAAGCAGAAAATGAGCTGAACAGCCAGCAGCAGCAACACTGAGCAGCATTTTCCATTGACTGGATGCGACTCAGACAGTTTCTCTGTAACTGCAGGGCTTCCTGCGCTGCTGTTAGTCAGACACGGATCAACAGGTTGTGGATAGAAAGCAGATTCCTTCAGCAGAGGATCCATATCACACTTGAAGCATGTCGTCGGGAAACAATCAGTGAAAATGGGACACTTTGAGCCAATTTGAGCCTCAATCTCTGAACATAGATGGTGCAGAGTTATGAATGGCTCTGTTTTTTGTTGGGGTTTTTATCATTTATTTTATGGCTTGCTGTACTAACTTTTTTCAATAAATTAATAAATAAATGGTCTTTGCACTCTAAGCTTTAGGAATGAAGCAGTAATAAATTGTCGGAGCCTCCACTTAGCAAGAATAAACTTTCAATTACTTTAAATCTTACAAATTGCTTATTTTAACTCCTTTCGCTTTTAATTGTTTTAAGTAACTGAAAACACCTGAAATGAACTATAAAGACCAAGGAAGACCAATAAAGCAAAGACCAAGGAACTGATCGTGGACTTCAGGAAGACCAGGAAACACTTGACCCCTGTTTCAATCCAGGGGGTCAGTGTGGACATTGTGGAGGACTATAAATACCTTGGAGTACACATTGACAATAAACTGGACTGGGCTAAAAACACCACAGCACTTTACAGGAAGGGCCAGAGTCGTCTCTATTTTTTGAGGCGACTGAGGTCCTTCAACATCTGCCAGAAAATGCTCAGGATTTTCTATGAGTCTGTTGTGGCCAGTGCGATCCTCTATGCTGTTGCATGCTGGGGGAGCAGGCTGAGGGTCGCAGATGCCAACAGACTTAATAAACTAATCCGTAAGGCCAGTAATGTTGTGGGGATGGAGCTGGACACCCTCAAGGTGGTGTCGGAGAGGCGGATGCTGTCCAAGATAAAGACTATGTTGGATAACACCTCCCACCCACTCCATGACATGCTGGTCAGTCACAGGAGCACGTTCAGTGAGAGACTGAGATTACCGAAAAGCACCACTGAACGACACAGGAAATCTTTCCTGCCTGTGGCTCCCTGTACAACGCATCCACTTAACACACTGTTTGCTGCAACAACTACACATGTTTCTTTTCCAACTATTTATTTATGAGTGAAGTATGTATGTGTATATATGTATATATTGTACTATTCTTAGTTAGTGTATTGTCTGTCTTGTCTTAATGTTGGTTAAAATGGAGCACTGTAACAAAAAATAATTTCCCCCAGGGATCAATAAAGTATTCTGATTCTGATTCTGAAATGCACACCATATTAATTACTTTGAGCCAAATTGATCTCTATCTATCTATCCACACACACACACACACACGCACACACACACACACGCACACACACACACACGCACACACACACACACACGCACACGCACACACACGTAAATAAATATAAAAACAAGCCAACTTATTCCTGATCCAAATGGCTTCATGTCAAGTTTAAAATGTTTTCTATCACACATGTGTATATCAAACATATTTTAGGAATTCTAGTTAAAAAAACAACAACAACACATACATACAAAGAATCAAAGGAAAAAACAACAACCTGTGATTTTGACTTTGAGCAGTACTTTTTTGTATCTATTGATCTTCCCGTAGACTTTACATCTGTATCCTCCACTGTCTCTCTCTGTGGGCTGTTTCAGGGTCAGACTGAGGTCTCCAGTTCTCAGCAGGTCTTCATTCATCTTCGTCCGGTCTCTGTAAAACTGGTGCTGTTCTTCAGGCTGATCAGAGCCGTTCTTAAACACATGGACCATCCTATCACCACTGACCTTCCACTGCACTTTGGCATCTTCGGGCAGGTTTTCTGTTGTTTTGAAGGGCAGCTTGACAGACTCCGCCCCCTCCTCCACCTCCACCTGACAGACTGAGACAACAACAAAGACAACATGAGCTGTTCAGACAGCAGCTGGCTTTTCAGTGTTGTAGAGAAAACTGAGGGACAGAAGCATATGAGAGTAGAAGGTAACAGGACAGATATCTAGAAAGTGAAAACAAGTTCAAAATGTTAGAGATGATCAGAGTCCGATGGTGCTATTTTTGTCCATTTCCTACTTTACAGCAATTTCTCCTGTCAGTGTGGAGCTTTTGTCTGGGTCTTTTTGTCGTAGATCTAAAATGGAACATTTGTATTTCTAAAAAGATTCAAGGTCAAACAGCCTCACTGAAAATCTAATTCAGTCAAATCAAATGAATTCCTTCAAAGTTGATGATGATCTGATAACATCAGATGGACTGTTTCCTCAAAGCAAACTGAATCATTGGCTGGGCTGCTTCCCACTTCCAGACACTCCCCGAGGCCACTGCCCACTGAGAAGTTTATTAACAGTTATTTTTCTGTTTGGATCCACACCACAGACAGACGTACCATCACTAATGTGATATAAGAATCAAGCACCACCTTTAATATGCTTAAATGATTTGAGAAGTTAAGTGGGTAATGGCGAGAAGGTTAGCACTGTTGCCTGAGTTTGACTCCACCGCCTGGCTGGGGTCTGTCTGTGAAGACTTTGCATTTTCTTTCTGTCTGCGTGGGTTCTGTCCAGGTACTCTGGCTTCCTCCCACAGGTCAAAGACATTATTGTTACGTTAGCTTCTAAATTGCCCATAAATGTGAATGTGAATGGTTGTCTGTCTCTCTGTGTTAACAACAGATTGTGATCTGCAACACATTGGCGACCTATCCTGGGTGTATCCACCTCCTGCCCCATGGTAGCTGGGGTAAGCTACAGGCACCCACCTACCTCTGCTCTGAACTAATTAGGCAAAAGAAATGGATGCAGAAATCAATGTCAAAAATGGCGTTCAGATTTCAAGCACACGCTGACCTTGGACTTTCAGCTCCACTTGTTTCTTCATCAGGATGTTTCCCTCCTTGTAGACGGTGCAGGTGTATGTCTTTGTGTCCCAGTCTGTGGGGTATTTCAGGGTCAGACTGAGGTCTCCAGCTTTCAGCAGGTCTTTATTCACCTGTGTTCGGCCTCTGTAAACCTTGTCCTGTTCTTCAAGCCGGTCAGAACCGTTCTTATACACGTGGACCTTCCTGTTCTCTCTGTCTATCCACTCTGCTTTTACATCTTCAGGCAGACTTTCTGTGGTTGTGAAGGGCAGTTGGACAGACTCACTGTCTGAAACCCCGTTCACCTTGATACCTGACAGCACAACAAAGCAGAAAATGAGCTTTCTTCTTATATAATGTGACACAGGGTTCTTTTTACAAAACTGTAACCTCACAAACAAGTGGCGTCTGTTTCTCTCTTAAGCCCAGAAAATTACAGATGAGTTTGAGATCCTTGTAACATATTTCTAGCTCACCCTGGGGTATGTGGCTGTTGGGGCGTGCTTTAACTGCACAGCTGTAGAGTGGTGTGGAAACAGTGCCTGTAAAACTGAAGGACCTGTCTTCCATAGTTCATTAACCTTTTTCCTCTTATACAGGAAACTGCACAGCAGACATCCGCATGAGCTTGTGAGCAGTCGGCACTCCACAGCCAGGCACGTTAAATAGACAATTAGAAGTATTTATAGTGTGTGCAAACCACAACTTGACTCTCATCCTTACTGAAAAGCATCGACAGTGGCAAGACCTGATACCACAACTACGTACAAATGAAAACTAACTTTGCTTTGATCCCTGAGCTTGATCTACAGCACTGACCTCTGACTTTCAGCTTCACTTGTTTCTTTTTCAGGATGTTTCCCTCCCTGCTGTAGACGGTGCAGGTGTAGATGTCAGTGTCCCAGTCTGTGGGGTACTTCAGGGTCAGACTGAGGTCTCCAGTTCTCACCAGTTCTTTATTCATCTGTGTTCGATCTTTATAATCTTGGTCTTGTTCTTCCAGCTGGTCAAAGCCATTCTGATAAACATGGACCTTCTCATAGTCACTGTCCATCCACTCCACTCTAGCATCTTCAGGCAGGTTAGTCCTGGTTTTGCAGGGTAACAGGACAGTCTCCACCCCTGAAACCACCTCTACTGTGTAAACTGAGAGGACACCAAAAATATGAGCTGTACAGAAAAAAGCAACAACACTGAGCATGATTTACATTTAGTAGTTGAAGTGAAATATTTCAAGTCAAAACACATTTTACTAATCAGTCAGATTATGCCACTGAACAGAGACAATATGGCCTTTGTTGTTTTTCCAATCAGCGTCACAGCTGTCTGTTTCTTAAAGACCTCAACATCACTGTCACATGTCCAGAGACAAGCTTTGTTGTTGTTCTTTGAAAGAGAAACAAGTAGTTCACTGCAGGAAACAACTAGTTACCTGGGGGCATCTTGGGAAGCAAATTCAGGATATCCAGGCTTTAATTGTGTTACCCAACCCCAGTCAGAGATCATGTTTATCAACAAAGTGATCATCAACTTTCTTTGTTAGCTAGGCTTTCTGCTCCAGATACAGATCAATTGGCTATGCATGTTTATTATTAGTAATAATAGTATTTAAATAAAACATTTCATACTCCAGCAAAAATGTAAGTGCAGATGATTCTCTGCCAGACAGATATATTGCATTATATTCGTACAGGTGGTGTGAAATAGTTCTTGTATCCGTACGTAAATAAATATCTCAGAGAGACATTGTTCTACATATATACATAGATATATCTATCTATGTGTGTGTGTGTGTGTGTGTGTGTGTGTGTGTGTGTGTGTGTGTGTGTGTGTGTGT